TCCTTTTTGTTTGTTGGTTCATTTGAAACAACTAGCATTCCGTCGAGTGATGCCGACTCCTTCCCTTCTATCCTGACGGGAAGTGTGAGGGGTACTAAGTTCGATACCTAGGTACTTAGGTACTGTATGTAAGCCGTTGAATTTAGAGGGCTCATTTTGACCAGGGTGGATGGACCCCTGCGCGAGGAACGAAACGCTGGGGTCGATCAACCGGCTGTAAATCCCGATGCATGGCGCTGGGCTGTCACATCTGCCTACTTTATCATTGGGGGTAGATCAAACTAATAAGCTTCAATGTGCATACGGAGTAAACGGCTAGGCTAAACGTTTGTTAATTAACGTCTTGTAGAACCTTCTGTATTACCTATGCAACCGGCGTAGTATATTCTATTGGCGGTTGAGGGGTAGACAGGTCCAGCTTCAACCGAATTTGAACTAGGAGTTAACAACAACATCTAGAGCTTTACATGTATTGAAGAAGCAGGGCAATCTTGAATAATCTCATGTCATGTCGACGATGCCATTCCGTGTCTTCTGCGAGGCTCGAACACCTTCTAGCACCTATAGGGTTTCAAACAAATGATGAGTATGACATAGTTCACAGAAGTAATCAACATCAGACGAGACCTGTTTGGATCTTCCACTCTCAAACAAGCTCGCATGAACATATACCGTGACACTCGAATAAATAGGATAGTACCAATAGAAGTCCGGCATTTCATCGGACGAAAAGCCTCAGCTTCTATTGATGATTGGCTGCGATTTTTTTACTATGAAACATATGCCCTGCCCGTACAACGAATAGATCGTCAAAGGCTACTTTTTACGAACGATAATATGAACAGCGTTGTATTGGACTGGTAATGGCTAGGAATCTGTACAAAGAGGCCTGTGTTTGGCAACCTGGCGGTCTATAAACAGTCTAATCAACTGAATGCGCTAGAGTCATAGCTACAGGTTCCCATGCTCTTATACACCCGTCAACATCAGTGAAGACCATCACTTCATCCTTTGGCTTACTGGCATGATAGAGGTAGACTTGAGTAACCGATTTTTATGTCTCAATAGGTTCTTACACAATATATCATACAACCACATTTCGTACATCCTTGCGTCTATTTCCTCTTCTGTCCAAGAATCTTGGCGTGTTGTCTTCCGGAGGGTTTTCCAGACTGAGTTGCTCGTGACCGTAGAGTATATCTCTCCTTCTTCCATGCAAACACCATTTGATCCACACTACCCATGTCGTGCTTGGGCTTCCTCATGTACGTGAGGCGTGCTCGTCGTGCCCTCTTAGGCCGTCGCCAGATAATATCGATACCAGTCACTGTCGGGCTGTAGATCTTGAACCACATCTCCACACCAACCTTCATCATCTGTCCACGCAGTTGGATCGCTGTATCCTGACCTCGGCGTCGGATTTGTAGAAAAGCGCCGGCAAAGGGTTCCCCGCCCTTCGTCGTCACCATCAGAACGTCGCCAACCTTAGCGCTGTCGGCGTGCTCTCTTGAGAACAATCGTGTGCGTGCGCCAGTTGGGTCGAGTTTCGCGAGTTGCTTTTGCAGAAGTGCGGGCATAGGATCGGGGTGGGTGGTACGAACACTCGGGACTCGAGGGTAGATATGAAATTTGCTAACCTTCGTGAGATCCGCCCCTGGTCTTAATGTCAGCGATGTTGTTTTCGCAACAATGCAGATCGTAAAGATACATACGTTGTTCAGCACTGAAGGCGTTCAGTATCGGCTTGGGCACAGGCTCAACGGCTGCTGAAGAAATCCTCCTTTCGAAAGCCCTCATGAGTCTTGTCCGTCTAAGAGCAGATTTGAGACAGCCAACTGGCCGTCCCGCGATGGCGACGTTCATTGTAAATTGAACTATTGTGATTATACAAGTAGTTGAGGTTGAGACAGGCGCTAGAATTTCTGGAGCTACGCCCGATACTTCCAATTCTCCTTGCTGATTGGCTCGGCTGACAGTTCATCCGGTGGCTTTTTCCATGGGACGCAGAATGAACCTACCTACGGAGTACCTACCTTACGATCTGGTGGGAATTGCCCAAGCTTTGAAACCTCAAAAGTTATCACAGCACTGTGTGACAGTCAGCACAATGCTGAACAGATCCTTGATTTTGGGCTTGAGGCCTGTGGCCAACCCGCGGACATCCCTTGCACTGCCTGCTATCCAGTACAGATGCTTCAGTATATCTTCTGCGTGCAGTAAGTGAAAAAAAAACGTGAAACGCTTATAATTCAGGAAGTTGACAATCGACAAGGTTTTAGTGCTGTGTTCGCCGAGACTAAAAATCCTCAGCTGAACGAAATTCTCACACAAATTCAAGAGAAGATCATTCTCCCAGCCCACCTACCAGAGAAAGCGAGGAAGCTCGTTTTCAACCCCAAGAAGAGCGACTACATCCAGCGAAATCCCGTCACCATCGAAGTCGATGGGCTCGAGCACACTTTCAAGACTATTGATCGATTCTACGATATCCCAAACTCGATGAAGGCTTTTGCAGAAGCAACAAAGCTCATGAAAACCAAGGAGGAATGGGATAACATAAGCACCTTGCTTGCTGGCTATAAGAAAGCAGGAATTAAACTCAAACGCTGGCATGCCGACGCTGTGACTCGACGTGCAGGCCATGATGGGCAGCCGTATGTGGTCATTGAATGCGCCCAGCAAGTTGAAAAGACGGGACTAAGTCTACAGCGCGACAGCACTGTCATCCTGCTGTTGGGATCTATTAACCGTAAGATCATATCCCCGAAAGGAGAGGAGAGCGAGACGCAACAGGCTCTTAAGTGGAATAAAATGGTCTGGGATATCATTCAGCGCCCTGAGCACCTTGCTAAGAACACACCCCCTCGTCGTCAGCCTCATATGAATCCCATTATCCGGGGTATGATTCTCTTCTCCCAAGCATCTACAGTCAAGGAGCAGCAGGCAGCCGGAGCTCCCGTGGATGATTTGATCCGAGAGCTTCGAGACAATGTTGAGTTTATCACCAGCGCATGGGCTGAACGAGAATCCGATGACTTAACAAGCTCACCCTACCTGAATTCTATCAATAGCCGAGTCAAGCCCAACAGCGACAACTACGTACGCGAAAGGCAACACCTTTCTCCTTCCAACTACATTTGGACTCTTGCCCAGAACATCAGGGCGATAGAACTAGCACAGGAGATCATCGGTGAAGATGCCAAAGACCTGCAGCCTGTCCACGATCTAATGGAAAAACACATCGAAGATTTTGTTATGATGAACCCCGATAATAACTCTTTTGGCTGGGACATAGCGTATGAGAAAGTCACAGGCCGACAGCCCAACTGGAAACAACATTTGCCTGCTGCGCCCCGCCCCAGGAACGATGTAGAGGATAACTAGACACAAATATTCATGCACTTTGAGAAGACCTGGAGTCTACATGTGGACAATCTGTCACGGATAGCGGGGGGATTATCATGTACTATATATGTAACAACGAGGTTCTTTTTTATAAAGAATGCCTCTTTCTCTAAGGCAAAACGATGTACTTCTCCAGGTGGCTGGGAATTGCGCCCAGAAGCTTCTTGTCTGTCAACCATTTTCGTGAGAACAGTCGATCAGCGTATCTGTAAGCCCCATCGCAGAGGACGGTGACAACAGTATGACCTTTGCCCAGCTTCTCAGCGACCTCCTTGGCAGCTACAACATTGAGAGAGGAGCTGGCACCGAGGTATAACCCTTCCTCATCCAAGCATCGGTAGACCATTTCGATGCTCTTCTCGTCTGAGATGTGCAGCGAACCGTCCACCAGGCCAATATCAGGCTGGAGATTGTCGGTAATTCGACCTTGTCCAATACCCTCAGTGATGCTGGAACCCGTGCGCTCGGTAAGTTTGCCGCCAGATGACACATAAGAATGAAGCACACTGCCAGGAGGGTCGGCAAGAAAGCTTTTGACCCGGCCATCAGATACGTCCTTCAGATATCTTGTAATGCCGGCTAGGGTACCAGCAGTGCCAGTAGCGCATGTGAAAGCGTCAACCTTGCCATCCGTTTGCGCCCAGATCTCAGGGCCCGTCGTCTCGATATGCGCACGGCGATTGGCTGTGTTGTCGAATTGGTTCGTCCAAACGGCGTTGTCGAGTCGCTCAGCGTGTCGACGGGCCTGGTGGTTGTAGTTCTCGGGATTATCGAACGCGACAGCAGGGACCGGGTAGACCTCAGCGCCGAGGAGCCGCAAAAGATCAATCTTGCCCTGAGACTGGGTGTTTGGCATGTATATAACGAGCTTATAGCCGCGCGAACGACAGACGTGAGCGAGACCGATACCGGTGTTTCCTGCAGTCCCTTCGACAACAGTGCCTCCAGGTTTGAGGAGACCGCGCTCCTCAGCGTCCTTAACAACATACAGCGCTGCGCGATCCTTGACAGAACCCCCAGGGTTCATGAACTCTGCCTTGCCAAGGATCTCACAGCCAGTCTCCTCGGAAAGGTGATTCAGACGGATGAGAGGGGTATTCCCAATAGCTATTGTAGGTCAGACTCCCTTTCAAGAACCGGGATTACATTGACGATAGGCGCACCTCCTGTCAAACCTCTGGAGACACCTTGAGCTCGGGACACACTGAGGGTGTGAGAGCTGGGAGCTGCCGCAGCTTTGGCCGCGGTAGCTGCAAGCCGACTAACGCTGGGACGGAACATGATTTAATAGTGAAGCGGCGCGATCTTGGACAGATCAATTGATAGTCACCAGGTCGGGGGTTTGCCACAAAAGGAATAAGTTGAGCTCATAGAAGAGATCAAAGGGAAATAAATGTATTTGGATGGTGGGGCCGCAATCGGCAATGGCGCAATCCCGGGCTGTCGGTGTTGGATGACCAAGTCCCGCACCGACTTCCATATGGCTTGAAGCCTGAGTACCAACAAACTACCTAAGGTGCCAACACAGCCATTATATGAGTAAATATGTATTAGATTCTTGCGTGTCTGCCACGGAGCCGTCAGCTCTTGCATTTTTAGGCATCCTGTTCCAACCGCACATATGGCGCTGGAAACAAGCCCCGAGTACCCATATATGCTCCAAAGAACCATTCTCCGTTCACATCCTCGATCTCTTTGATTTCCGCTCCTTTTGGAAAGAGAAGTTCGTCGTCCGCTCCCGGTCTGGGGTACCACCCGAACCTCGCAGTCGCCTTCAGTCCAACTCCGCCATCAGGTGGCAAGCTCTTTGCGAAACCGCTCTCACTTGGCGCCGTTTCTGACACGTCTTTGGTGACAAGCCGGGCCAGGTCTTGACCATTTTCGTGCCAAACCCATTTCTGAAGTCCTTTCTCGCGGTGTTCTGCCTTTTCAGCCGCCTCTGGTTTTAGTCCTTGGCCTCCTACCAAGTCCTGGGCTATATATCTCCATCGCCCACTCTTCCCATCCGTAAATGCGATGACTACCATTCTATGTCCGTTGAGGCATCTCCTCCAACCTGAATGGCCGTTTTCAGGGCTGATTTGTCTTTGTATAATCAAGTTCCCATAACATGAAGAACATATATCGTAATCACCTGGTGCAGCATCTGATACCAAAGAGCTTGTACACTGATAGCAGTGGTATCGTGCTTGATTCGGTTGGATGGGCTCCTGACACAGGTCGCATCTTGTGGTGAATGACAAGTACTCGAATGGTTTGATGCTGGATGCATTAGGACCTTTGAATATCGTTGCTGCCGTGGGTCGACCGGGCGATCTGGGAGGACTTCCAGGCCTGTGTTGATTAGACTGGGTGGCTTCGTGAGCCATTGGAAGTAAGGGGTGCGTGCATGATCTTCCCTGATTTACACAGTCGTTACAAAAACCCCAGTCGCCCTCGTTACATATATCGCACCGCCAATAGCACTCGTTCGTCCAAGCGGAGCATTTGGCGCAGAAAGTACCGCTTTCCAAACGATGTCGAGGATCGTCCGTTGTCAGTGTTTTTCGTCCGTCTGCCCCGCCAGGAGATGAGCGGGGAGGGCGGTAACGGAGAGCGGTCAGTGTATGTGGCTGTGGTAGTGAAGCATCCCCTTTCTGCTGCCGAATCTTTTCCCATTTTGAAAAAGCACCATGGCCGAACCCAAACCAGTGATGGCAGCCTTTGCCAGCCCGGTAACAGTTGAGGCATATATTCCACTGTCCATTGGCGCAGATGGAGCAATTGTAATGGAGCTCATATTCAATGTGCTGCTTGTTGCAACGTGAGCAGCTGACTGAAGGTTCAGGGTAGAGCAGTGACCTGGTCCTGTGGTGTCCCGAGATAGTGGGACTACTAATCGGGCTGGTCACAGTCTGATGAACAATAGCCAGATCAACCGGACGAGGTCTGTTTGCCCGACCGGCTGTTGCATCATGGTGGGAGAATAGGGGAGGGACCGATGCACTTTGAGAGGTTCCTTGACGACTAGCAAACGACATATTCCCGGTGTTGTTGCTGAATGAAGCCGCTTCTGTTGGGTTGGGAAACGGCACAGTATGGATGGGTGTGCTGGTACTACGTCCCTCGCTAAAGCTAGGTCGGGACTGCGTTATATCGGAAGCCTGGGGCCTCGATCCCAGGTCCGTAGAGGAACGAGCAGCAGGCCTGGGCTCAGAAGTGGTCGGAAATACTGGAGTGGTAGAGCTTCGACCTCCGCTAGCAGTCCGTCTCCGAGGCCTTCGGACTGGCTCCTGGACCTCTAAGTTTGCTGAGGTCGTAGATGTTGCGGGACGACTCCGTTCCTCTGTCTGACTCGCAGCACTGGTAGCACTTGCAGCGCTAGCAGATCGAGAATGTGGTCGAGATCTTTCTCTTGGCCGACCTCCTTCTGGGGCCAACATGCGAGGATCCCCAGCTGCCGCGTTCTCGGCATATCGTGTCAACGGAGGATAGTTATTTCCATTGTTCCTCCTCGTTTCTTGGCGTGTTCGATCCCTCTGCCGACGTCGGTATGCTTCAGTGATCCTCCTGCTGAGCTCGTCGTCGCGACTCAAATCGATGTTGTCCAAATCGAGCCCGTCGAGGAGGCCTTCTTCCTGGATCTGCCTGGCAAAGGACTCAATTTCTCGTTCGATATCTCTCTCACTCATATCTCCAGAGCTGATTAGTGACCGAATCGATGACTGGTGCTCAATCTGGCGCTGCCTCGACTCGCTTCGTCGACGTCGTCGATCGCCTTCGACATGGAGCTGATCAGAGCTATGCCGACCTCCCTCATCAACTCGTGGGCGACGGCTTCCTCGTGGCTGATGGCGGCTATCGACGCTTCTTTCTCTACCTCGATCCCTTTCCCTATCTCTGCTTGTCCTTCTTCTGTCGTCTGCGGATCGACTCTCACGCCTCCGCCGTGTCCTTGGTGGCCCCGAAGATACCCCCGCCTCTTGTAAACTTAGTTCTCGAACCTCCTCCACCAATCTTCTATCTTCAGCGTCGATGCGCCGCTCATCCGCTGTTCGATGTGTATTTATCGTTGGAAGGACTTGGTCGCCGGGTTTATACTTCTTTGCCATCTCTTCCTTCTCTGCTGCTGAGCGGTCCTTGCCAGGGCTTGCCGCTATAAACATATCCAAGAGAGTGACGACGGTCGCATTATGTTGGGTCGTTCGTACAGTAGCCCGGCATGATGGGCATGTAAAAATGTTTGTACCAGGAGCAGGCGGGTTTGGCGCCCGCTCGGCCGTCGCAGCCTGGAAAGTAAACCATTCCTTCAAACAGGCACCGCAAAAGGTGTGAAGGCAATCAAGAAGAGTCAAAGGTTGGTATAGGAGCTCTGTGCAGATCTACAGACAAGGTCAGACTTTGGAGACAAAAAGGCGGGGAGATTTACAGAGCACGTCAGCTCCTTTTCCAAGTCCAAGCCAGCGTTCGTGGGCTCCATTCATGATATTTGGTTAATCCCGGCCCATGGTTGGGATGAAAACAGCATGCGTGTGAAGCAGAAACAAGGTTGTGCTGAAGAGAATATGTTGATCGAAGGTAAAGGGTCACTGATGTTGGTTTGTTGGCTAGGAAAGCTACGATCCATCCAATACCCCAGCTACCTAGGTAGTTATCTGTACTATATTACTAACTACTAACTACCTGAGTGCCTAGGTAGTGACCTCCATTAGGTGCCTACCTACTAGGTAGGTGTGAGTGTGTGGCGGGGCCGGTCTAGGCGTCAAGATGTCTGTCAGGGATTACCAGAAATACCTAGTAGGTTGTTCAAGACAACACACGGTTTTTGGTACAGGTTGTATCTAGAGATATGATGGCTGTTGGGCCATAGCATAACGTAAAAAGGGAACAAAATTATGCAAATGAGGACGAACATACATGTATAGGTAGGCGGGGTATTTTAAGACATTCATGGATCCGTTGGATTGTTGCATTATCATCGCATAAAGCCACCCCAAACCTTTCCTGCATTGCAACCCCATGTGAAATTGCGAATATTTTTCTAATTTATTTTTTCTCTTGGATATAGTCGGCTCATGTATGTTTCGTATAGTAAATTACGGCCAGCTAGGCAACTGGTATCTGTGCGTGTGAACAACTAACTCAATCTATCTCACACTTGAGCAGTAAACAGACGGACGTCGTGGCGGTTTTCATGTCTACAATAGCTCTTGCATTCATATTTTTATACAATTGCTACCAAGGCACATTGTTAAACTACAAATAGCGCTTATGAGTGGCTCCACTCAGCCTTCTTCTTTTCTGCGAATGCCTTCATGCCAATCTTCTGATCTTGGCTACCAAACAAGCTGTGGAAGACCCGCCTCTCATACTCGACACCGTCACGTAGGGCCAGATCCTGGCTCTTGTTAACAACCTCCTTGGCGGCTTGAACAGCCACCTTGGAGTAGCCAGCAATTGTCTCGGCTGTCTTGAGCGTCTCCTCCATCAGAGCCTCATACGTGGGAAAGACCCTGGCAGCTAGTCCCCATTTCTCGGCATCGACACCAGAAAGTGACTTGCCGGTCAGAATGAGTTCCATTGCCTTTGATTTGCCGATGGCACGAGTAAGGCGCTGGCTGCCACCAGCTCCAGGAACAGTCCCGAGCTTGATCTCGGGTTGGCCGAAGTTCGCATTCTCCGTACAATAGATGAGATCACACATCATGGCGAGCTCGCAGCCTCCACCGAGGGCATGCCCTGAGACTGCAGCGATGATTGGCTTTTTCACCTGAGTAGTGAGGTCTGACCAGGACTCGATGAAGGACTTGGTGTAAGCTTCGGCGAAGGTAAGAGGGGCCATCTCCTTGATATCAGCACCAGCTGCAAACGCCTTTTGGGAGCCGGTTAAAATGATGACTGACGTATCGTCGGCCACGTTAAATTCAAGAAGAGCCTGGTTGAGCTCTTTGATAAGAGGCGTGCACAGGGCGTTGAGGGCCTTAGGACGGTTCAAGGTAACTAGGCAATCGTTAGATACTGTTCGATATACCAAACCGAGAGATTGCATTGTTTCAGTATCGTTCATACCTTGTCCAACACCGGGCTTGGGTTGAGAAACCTGGATATACTCATAAGTCCCCGAGCTGTAAGCTCGAGCAACGCGAGGAAGAGTAGGCTTTTGGAAGGCTACTCGACCTGCCACTGGTCTCATGCAGCGGAAAGCGTTCATTGTGATACGAGAGAATGGATATGATGAGAAAGATAGCGAACGATCGATATTGTAATTATAAAACCGTTATCTGTTGGTCCCACAACTGGAGGAGTTGAAACGATTGCTATTGTATAAGTTAAGAATGTGATCAGTGAGGAGCTATAAGTATTGGGCCTGCATTGATAACTGGGGAGCTTAAACTTCCCCAGTGACGCAACAGAGCCGAGGATAACATGGGCCGCCCATACCCATGGCAAAGCCGACAACCAGATTTATGATTGAGCGTCACGTGAGAGGTCGATCTCAGCACCTTAACAACTCGTGGTTAAGAAGGGAACTCCTCCAACTCGACTCGTTGATCATCTCTTTCACATATAGTCTATTGATGATGCAGCGGAGGTAGTGGCCAAGCAACGCCCTGCAAGTTCCTGTTCGCCAATGGCAGAGGAACAGTTGGAATGGTATTGCCTTGGGTAACTGCCTAGATAAAGCATAAATCGCAGCTTTCAGATATAACGTTGTCGTCCAGGTAGCGATGAGCTGATAAATTAAACTGTGCCTCTGTGCAGAGTACCTTAGTAGTCAGATACCACCTTAATAAGTAATATGTAAGGTATAGTTAGTAGTTGGACCTCTAGGTACTCTGTACTCTGCGCTGAATACATACCTACAGCATGAGCTTTCTTACAGGGGTAGGTAAGGTTAGGTAGGCAACTCGACGCGACGCGGTAATAGATAATTAGAGACTGCGCCACATTCGCATGTGGGGTCAAGGGGCTCTCCTCAGATCGCTCAGCAGTAATCCGGCTGAATCACCAATAAGATCATAGGCTAACTGTCGGTTTCAGGGAGGCCACCAAACAAACTGCCTGTCAACGGTTCATCAAGTCCTCCTTTGTCCGGTAAAGGACCGGGGAATTGATTAGCCTTGCCTACTGGGTACCAAAAGCTTAACAAACCTTACGTGGCTGCATCGCCAAAAGTCCAAAGTTGGAAGTCCTGACCCCCCAATCGCAAATTCGCCATCACTTCTTTTTTTTCTCTCTTCCCGTCAACTTCGACTTTTCTCACGGCGTCGTAGTCATTGTTCAGCACAATTGCAGTCGATTATTCTATTCGAATAGTTTGCGCCTCCTTCCCGTCATATACCCCGATTGACAACGGTCGACCGATCCTCTTCACAAGATGAATGCGCCAGAGCCTGAGCAGACCCCTTTCGAGGCTGTCAGCGTCCATACTTCGAGGCTTCAGCGAGTATGTCTATCGAAACAGACTGTTATGTATTGCGACTCTTCTGACACCGGATTAGAAATACCAAGCTTTGCTGGACCAGTCGACCCCTTTCGTCCTCTACCGATGGGTCGGTACTGTTGTCTGCCTCCTCCTCTTCTTTCTCCGAATCCTTCTTGCGCAGGGCTGGTATATCGGTAGGCTCGAACCTGCAAATAACACTCCTGGATCATCTTACTTACAACTGCGCAGTTGCCTATGCGCTCGGTATCTATCTTTTAAACCTGTTTCTGGCTTTCCTGCAGCCTAAGTTTGACCCCTCCAACGAAGAGGCCGACAACGAGATGGAGGATGGCTCTGTGGGCACTCTTCCCACCAAGCAGGACGAGGAATTCAAGCCCTTCATTCGCCGACTTCCTGAGTTCAAGTTCTGGTACTGGGCCACCCGAGCTATCATCATCAGCTTCTCCTGCAGTTGGTTTGAGATCTTTAACGTGCCAGTTTTCTGGCCTGTTCTGGTCATGTACTGGTTCATCCTCTTCTTCCTGACTAGTAAGTTCCATATGATATGGACAACATTCCGTATATTAATTGTTTCTAGTGCGCAAGCAAATTCAGCACATGATCAAGTACCGCTACGTACCCTTTACTGTCGGTAAGAAGAACTATGCCAAGAACAACTCGTAAACAGACGCGACTTTCGGGATACTTTTCTTCAGCACAGCGGGCATCTCCGCTGAACGAGTGCCCGTGTGCGTTGTATAAACATGACGGCCAGCTTTATCAAGCGACACAATAATGCGATGCGTGTTCCGAGGCGTGTATTTCAATTACGGGGGGGGGGGGGGATTGACTGGTGACAACCCCCATAGGGGATGGGCAATAAAGAAAGGAACTTGGGTCGTATGACACAAACGAACCTTAGCTATAGACTTGGACGGATCTGGGGGCCATGACAAACAGAGCAGATGAACTATTTAATGAAAATGACCATCATATGAATAAAAAAGTATGACCGAGCTCTTCAGTATAACGCTTTGCGCGTGTTGATTGTGGCATTATTGCTAAATTAGGTATTCAAGGTGGAAACATGTTAAGGATGTTTACTCCGTATATTCCCTGAAAACCCTTTTCCTGCGTTATTATTCTACTTCTTTGTTCAATCGATGTTTACCTAGGCACTTGGAGTAAGTTTCATGAGAAACCCTTATTAGTGGGCTACGCCAAACGTGGAGCTTGGACAAGGCCAGCCTCGCGCGCAATTCTCGGATATCTTTGACCTCGAAACTCAGCCGCGCTCGCGCTTAAAGCTTCTCCATCAAGCCAAACTCACAAAAGAATCGCGCGCCAACACCCTTCAAATACATCACGACTTCGCACACTCACCAACGTCTTCCTCGGCGCCCGTTGCCAATTCAACCAGCATGTCATCTTCAGCTCCTCGCACAGGCGAGCGCCTGGTTCACCAGGACTTCATCGCACGCATCCGATTCTCCAATGCGCTCCCTCCACCACCCCATCCTCCTAAGCTGCTCGACATACCTAATACCGGCCTTGCTAGCGGTCAATATACGACGCCAGGCTTTGCTTCGCGCCTTGCGAGGGAGCAGCCGCTCAATATTGAGGCAGATGCTGAACTGGGAATGCCCCTTGACTTGGTCGGCATGCCTGGTGTTTTTGATGGCGATGAACGATGTAGGTTGGCTGTTTATCGTGTTTTGACCTCATAAAGCTGACGCCTCCCCAGCTATTCAGGCCCCTCCTCATCCACCTGCTCTTCATCCTCATGATCGACCCCTTC